CTCTCTCTCTCTCTCTCTCTCTCTCTCTCTCTCTCTCTCTCTCTCCCGATTCCTTTCTTCGTTCTTTCCGGACAAAGAGAAAGAGAGTACCCGGCGTGGAACGAATTACTCGCCGAAACGCAATGCCGGATCGAAGCGTTGCACGGATCGGAAGCGGGCACCCATCGGACAGCCCAGCGTTATTCATCTCGCGATGCAGCCGGGCGTTCGCGCTCTTGCGCTCTTCCAAGCCGACGATCCCTTCGGCAACCTTATCGGCATGATTAACTGCTGAAAATAAGAACACCGCGTCTAAAGCGCAAGGAGAGCAAATATATATAAGGAATGTAATTCGCTTCGTGCCGACTAAAGTGGTCTATTCGCTGGTCATTTACTATATGCGCCAGCAACTAGTTTTTTCTTGTTAATTTCACGGTCGTAACTAGAACAATTACGAGTTACGTCTTAAATCTTCTTTAGGACTTCCTTTATAGGTATCTACATCTCACTTACGATCAATATCACGTGTCATTTTTCAAGACTTCTTCGAAGCTGCTATTATTAAAATTAAGATCAGAAGATAGTAAGAAGAATTTAATAGAGAGCAAAAAATAAGATATAAGAATAAATAGATAAAAATTATACTATTAAATGTTTAAAATCGATTATTTTAAAATTTTGTAATTTTATAATTAATATTTTCTATTATACTTGGTATAATAGAAAAATCCAACAATTCGTTTAATTAGGTCTGTAGGAAACAAATCGAATCTGAATGAAATAGAAAGCGGAATTTTTTGTTTTAAGATCTTGCGAATTCGAAAATCTGACATTTCCTTGGAAATTCTGGACAGTAATAACTACAGATGGTTTTGTGAGAGCGAGACGCACGCAACGGCCTGGAGAAAATGTGGGTCTGCGGGTCGTCAAATACCCATTGACTCCGATCGATCGCGCCATCATAGGCAAGGACTCTTCTTCTGCAATTGCGCGTATTTTCTGGTCGTTGACCGTCGTCGGCCGGCGAACTCCGTGGACGCCGCGCCGCGACCACGAGTCGCTCTACTGCCCAGTGAAAAACTGGGCGAACCAGGGACAGATCGTAAAAACTCACTCAGCGGAGTGAAGTAATTGTACGTTCGGTGGCCTCCCTCGACTTCGCCTCGGGGCGCGCTCCGAAAGTGCCAGAAATTCGTATGTTGCGCGCCACTTTCGATGCACATCTTATTATTAAATATCTCGAAGTGTACTTTGGCTGTTGCGTTTGAATAATGGTAGACGAGGATCTTGGCTATAAGGCACGTAGTTATCTTTCTGACGTGTAACATTAGCGATTTATGTCTTGTCTTGTTCATGAAACAATAAAATTAAATAAAAATGTTTAGTACATCATAATTTTCTATACTCTTCATTGTTTTCTTTATCGTTCATCGACGCTAGCAAACACATCGCATTTTATATTCATTTAGTGATCATACACTACAAATTTTATATTTGAATATACGGATTTTTTTTTCTAGAAATGTTTACTAAAAAGTTACGCGAGCGCGCCTTCCGACTATTTATATCCGTTATATTAAAACGTCAAGGAATCATTAAATTATTATCATTAAGAATGATCGTGAAAATGACAGGTTAATGATAGCCTCTGCCTATAAGTCAATATACCAGCTAATCCCACGAGATTGATAAGGAAGCTATTCTAGCTAAAACCGGATTCGTGCGACTGAAACTAATTAACGGTTTCTACATCGTATCATGTCAACGTACGGCAGGGTATTAAACGGACAGGAAATCAAAAGGTCGTAGATCATTGAGATTGTAATCGAACTGTCGCGTTAAAGGATGTGATACAATAATCGTAAAGTAACGTTTCCGCGAATTGAGTTACTATCCGGCGACTTTTATTGACTTCGCACGCAAATATTTCACAAAGATATTGCAAATGAGATATTTGCCGACAAGACAATTATTTCAGTGTGTTTTTATCCCTTTCAATAGAATTGGCGAGCAAACACGCCCGACCGTTTAAAACATTAATCAATGTCTGTTGTAGCACGCGACCTAATCCTGCTACTTCATTATTTCACTTTTTTGTCTACTTTTTATGTTTGGCATGTATCAGCGCTATCGGTTAAATTAATGACGTTACCGTAAATTACGCCGGGTATAAGGTGAATGGGCGCGCATCTCCCTAGAGATACATCCGCCGCAGGTGCGAGAGTAAGTCGTCTAATCTCACTTGTACGAAATAAGAGGTATCGTGTAATCGCTATTAACCTTTGCGCTCGTGCGTTGAATTATGCTCGACCGACGCTTCGTCGGATCCTCACTGTATGTAATGTCCTGTCTAACTTTTATGGGCCCATCTCGGTCATATTTAAAAATGTCCATAGCCCAAAGTGTATACAAATATCTCTTACAAAAAAAAAATAGATTTTTATTTCATCACCTAATGAAGCATTTATTTTTTTACCGTTTAAACAAAATTTATATCCTTATAATTTTTTTACGTATAGCTATTTTTCATATTTATTATACTTATTATAGACACGATGAGAGATAAAAATGTATAATGTGCTTCTAATTAATTATAATAATATAAATTACATCCATGTTTATTTATTAGAATCAGATTGGAAATAAATAATTATTATCTGTCCTAAATCTAATTATAGTGGCTGAGTATTAATAGCACGGGGTTTTATTCGAATGTAGTTTTATTTTATTGCGACTCGCGAGGCACGTCTATAACATGAGATAGGAGTGTATGTCAAACGGCATACACTTCACTAACGAGAGCACTCGTGGCAGTCACGGACCCTCGAGCGCGATCACCTGTTAGCATCCGTCTAGCATCGGCAATAATCATAATAACGATAAGATAGCAACTGGACGGGATGAAATATTATCACTTCGCGGCGCGGAGTCCGCACATCGTTTTCCATGGCTCAACGCCGCGTGGCTTAAGATCGCCGGCGATTAGAGCACACGACTTTAATTTAATCCTCCGGGAGACGACTGCAGAGGGTCGTAAAGGGAAAACCGGTTGCACGCGACTGCGGGAATTTGCATAAGGAAAGCTCGCGGTTGTACAACGCACACACGACGTGACGTCGAGCGTTTTCCTTTTTCGCTCGTTTCGCGTCGCGTCACTTTATTTTTTTTTTTTTTCACGCGACTCGACGGCCGCGTAACATCTTTTATTAGGCGGCGATTCCGTGTCTAAACGGGAATTCCGTGCTAACCGATTGGCATGCAATAACCGCGTATTCGCGTGCTACTTTATCGATATTATCGAGAAGGATTGGGGTCGTCGCGACTTTTGAAACGCGTTTGGGGAAAGCGAAAGAGCGAAGCTCGCAGCAGGAGCGTAATCAGACGTGTCGAATCCCATAAAAAAACGCGATACAAGCACGGCAGAAGATATAGAAATACCGGCGACCTTCGTCGATAATCCCAAACGGCCTAGATTACAATAGAGCCATCCTGCTAGCTTGGCAATTGCAATTGATCTAGTCGCGCCACGTTCGACATAACACGACATGAGCCGCATGAGGATCGGGGGCGAGCACAGGCGCGACTGAAGACTAGTTATAATTATTCGCGAGTCGCCACGACAACGCGCCACGAATTAATCTCGATTGCATTTTAATGTTGACATGCGTCTGACCATTAATGCGCTTCTCCATCGCAGATTGCAGCATCAATATTTTCGATCGCTTGTTACATATTCATGCTGCTAGAAGTCATTATACCTGCTGATCGCAATTGTGCGTTTCGATTGCAATGCATCTGTACAATTCAACAAATTTGAACTGTATTGCATGTGTATTAGGCGCTTTTTTTTATCAGCAATTTATTAATAATTATGTAATTGTATATCAGTCACGGCTAAATAATATACTAATCTCTAGAATGTCAATTTCTTTTCTTGATAAATTGTATCTATTATAATACTGTGTAAAGCTGCAGCGCAATTGAGAATTGTACATCAAAATTCCAAAATGCAGAATCGAATATGTATAATATCGCGACCCTGTATGCTGTTTTATTAGAAATTACGCACGCACGTATCTGATGATAGCTACATGTGCACATCTACTTGTCTATATTCGTTGGTTACCTTCCCTTGCTCGATTCGATCAAGCGGAAAAGGGGCAGTGATCAACTGTGATATACTATGATTGAGCGATTATTACAGCGCAAAATGAAAAGTGACACAGTTTCATTTTCTCTCATTGTGTTATATAGCATGCTTTGAAAACTTTTAAAATAAATTAAATAAAACTAACTTTGTTTTGTAATATTATATTCTCAAACTTCTAAGAAATTATACTATACAGTGTAAACCATGTCACTAAACTTTGTTAATATACAGTTTCTTCATATTTTTTCCTTATTATCTTTCTTTATTGCCTTTCCCACTTATACTTTTTATTACATTAATTATCATGATATCATACGATAAACAAAGAAAATATATATTTTTTTGTATCGTAATATGTTTAGATAAAATTTTTAATACTGTGTCAGACAACCTTTCAGTGAGACAGGAACTTCTATATTCGCGAATTAATTTATACGAATGGTGCGACTGATGCACCACTGAATGCTTACATCGATCAATTCGATCTAGTGGAAGAGCGGGTACAACTTGTTACTCGAGGCGACTCGTTTCGCAGCCTATCAAGGCAGACCACTAGAAATGGCGTAAAATGGAAAGTGACGTAATTTTAAATCTCCCTTGGATGCTGTCACGCGAGCAAGCGAAGATGATAGCCGACTCGCGCACCTGTCATCACCTCTACGAAAGAGAGACGCATTGAATGCGGCGAACACGTAAGACTGAGGGTCGAATAGTGATCCTGACCTTTCCCCCAAGATACATCAATACTCTCAAGGTCCATACATATCGCGATAAGATGGTATTAAAAGAGAGAAAAAGAGAGAAATAAAAGTCTATCATCTTCCGATATAGAATATAATTGCCTGTAGGAAATTACTTTATTATTGTGAGAAACATATTCAAAGAATTATTTTATTATAACAAAAATTTTCTAGATTAATAACAGTGATATATTTGCTGCGGTATCCGCAGATTTTTGATTCAAAAGAAATATTCCGAGAATATTTGTTTTAATTCATTTGCGAAATTTATTCACTTCTATATAACTTTCTCTCATTGAATTAATCGCGAGAAATGTTTAAAAATTTTTTTTTAATATTTAAAATACTTTTTTGTAGCACACAGAAATAAGAAGCTGCGCGATTAGATATCTTTACTTCGCGCCGGGATTACGCTGCGGAGGAAATATGCGGTTAAGATTCTTAACTTGTATAGTAATATAAATAGCGGATCGTATTTCATATTAATTCCACCGCGTACCGGCGCTATTATCTGAATTATGTTCTTCACGATAACGCACGGGAACGATTACATTCCCGTTTGAGTCCCGCGAACAAGACACAGACAGATCTACGAATCTGCGGCTATAAAATTAAGAATTACCATTTACTTAGCTTAGTCATCTGTTATAGAGGAGATGTTTTTTTTTTCACGCGTAGGAAGCGCCTTATCAAGGTACAATTTACATCCGAATATTGCGCGGAACGCGTGCCTGTTTATTTGCGTTCGCGGCTTAATTAAATAATCTCAGGAGATAAAATCGATAGACGATATGCGTGCATATATCAAGGCAGGTGTGAAATACAAATTAATGCACACGCTTGCAGAATAATGTTTCTCATTCTAACGAAGAATAGGAAAAAAAATGTTTCAGTAACGGAGAATAAAACGGTGAACATCTAAATGTCAAAGTACCGTATCACCCGCGGCGAAGATGCAGCATGAAAAATAGATACTATTGCCGTATTACGAAATAGAAAAACTGTGCTACGCCTACGGCATCGGTGTACGTAACGTACTTAAAAGAGATTTCAGGAGATGAAGCTCTAGCGAGAAAAAGGCGATACAGTTAACGGTAACTCGCCGAGTGGGGAATGCTTGTTTAATGTGAGCTTTAACAGTCTAATTCCTAACCGAGATGAGGAAGGACCGTCGCGGCATTTAATGGCAACACCTCGGTTAACGTCGTCTACCGTCCGTCGTTGCCGTTGTCGCATTTCTGAGGACGCTCTCGCTCAGCAAGACAATTCCATCAAAACGCTTGCTTCATCATTGCGAGAAGAAAAGGAAATCTGTCATCTGTCCAATGCTGTCCGCGCGCCGTCATTTTTTACAAGTCAGAGATTCGTCGTATAATAGACATTTGTGATAAAAATTTCTTTTCTGCGTGCATATTCAAAAGGTATGTAAAATTATACGTGTCTTACGGATGATTTCGAAATTGCTAAATCATGTAGTGTATTAATTAAATATATAGAATGTATAAGACGGAAATAGCGCGCGCAAGATACTTCTACTAGTAAACTCGTTATGTAGATATTTATCAATGATTTATCGGATTTCATTGTATCTCGATTGATCATGACCTTCAATCTTTAAGATGCGTTGACGATCGGGTTATACAATACCAAAAAAAAATTCAAGGCTCTAGATTTCGGGCGGTTTGCGCATGTAAGCATTATGAAAGTGGCCGCATTGTAATTTACGCCATTGTACGATATAGATGTGACGCATAGAAAATTTAATATCCACGCGTTTTCAATCTTAAATAAAAATGTCATTTTATTAATCCAAAACGTCGAATTATTATTTAAATAAAAGCATGTATAGAAGTGAATAAGATCTACTCATACAACGTTTGAAATAACTTCATATGCTGTGCGTTAAACGTGGCGATCGGCCGTGCGAAACCTATCATTATCAGCGCGTAAAGGGAGAGAGAATCGCGATAAGTTGCGCTCGTTTGGCTCGATTGCCGAAAATAAAGAAGAGCTCGACTTTTTATTTCGATATTAACGGAACGACGTTCCTGATGCTAACCCCGAGGGGCCTTTCCGTAGCACTAGCCAGAGGGTAGGGGACCGTACATATAAAGGAGAGAGCCCCGTGCTCCGGGGGCCCAGTACCGTTCAAAGATGCAGGCTGCCGGGACGTTGCGTGGTACCAGGGCCATCTCCCTTCTGGTACTCCTGGTACCTCTCATTGGCTATGCCTGTGAGTAAAAAAAAAAAACGACATTCAAGATTTTCACCCGGATGAACATTGATTGATATGTGATATAATATGCTACCGCATTGTGGAGGATCAGTGTTGTGCAGTGATCGCAATTCGGGATTAAAGCTAGTGCCCTACTGTGAAGATTTTAAGAAACGTCGTAAATAATACATTTGTAGAGCGTGACAAATTTGCAAAACATCCCACGAATTATATGCACATTTTCTTCAATTACAAAATAAGTCAAAGGAGACTCTTTTAAATCTAAGTACACAATTTTTTAATCGTATGCAAATAAAAATTGAAGTATTTTAATAAATTAAATATAACAAAGCAACAATAAAATTTTAAATTCTTTAATTATCAAATTCTTCCAATGGATTTTATGTAAATATGTTTGAATATTTGGGTTTATTCATTCAAATAAATTTAAATAAATATTAAAATGCTAGAGAAAATAGCGATAAAAAATTCTAATTTAATGAAAGACTACAAAAAATAAGTGTGGTTTCTAAGATCATTAGAATCTGTAATTAATCGTTAAAATTAGTAAAAAATTTAATAAATTTTGGAAGATATAAAAAAGAATATATTTTCATTAAGTCTAGATAATTTTGTATTAAAATAAATGCAACCACACAAGAAATTCAAAAGCAGACTGAGAGTTAACAAAGTTGCATACATATTTCTCTTTCTATAAGTTTTAAATTAAAAAAATACAATAGTTTCACAATAGAGGTGCTATTTAGTCAAATGATTTGCGATTCACAGATGGTGGGATTTAACTGAGCGCTTAGCCTAGCTAATCCCTGTGCACGCGATTAAATATCCGCATTGCTATCATAGCCAATAAGCTCGCCTTGCCAAGTGAGCATTTCCAGCGCAATCATCCGTATTAAGCATATACACTGTTTCTCACCGTGTAATTTCAACTAGCCCGTGTGTACGACTTCTTCTAGATTCGAGTCCCATACAATATTTGCCCAGTATCCCAGGATACATTCCCGTTTATATAAGATACGGAGACGAGCCGTTGGAGGGAATAAATCCCGAGTTGGCCGAAGCTTTCGGAGAGACATCAAATTCGGTTAAGGTATCAATATTTTGATATAATTACGCTTTTAAGTGCGAAAAATACATACCGGAATAATCGCTGCCTATTACAACGACGAGAGAGAAAGATGTCGGTTCGTCTTTAGTGTAAATCGCAAATGCCGTGTGAATTGAGATACAGTTTGCAGGTATGTTAATCACATAACATACGACAGAGTTTACAGAAGATAGACCACACGCTCGCTCACGAGTCTGACAATTTCAAAGATGACGACATAGACACTTTTCTGGAAGAGTCAAAGGGGGAACATGCTTATCCGTTGCACGTGCGAGCAGCAGAAAGTCGTTCGTTCGCCGCTGCCAACGATCCAGGGAATCCTAATAAACCAAAGCTGCTAACTATTTATACATTACCCGATGATAACGAAAGCAGGCCACGTAGACGTTATCGAGGAAGATCTAGGCTAAAGAGTTCTAGAAAACGGCCCGCGTTTAAGGTAGAGATATTAAAATAGCCGGTAATTAATTATAATCATCAAGTTAATCAAATCCATATGTTTAGATAAACAATTTTCAAACTGAAGTTGCAAAGAAACTTTGGAAAGCGAATAATTTGTATTAGTGTTTCTTAGAAATTTTAGAATAACATACGTAAGAGTGGCTCTTGTACATTAGATAAAATCTCATCGATGACTCAACGAGCATTTATCATCCTCTAATACTTTTACCATTAAAAATAAAGATTGCTTCATGTGAATTGTATCCGCGGCAAACAGCATTTCCAAGAAAAAGAATTACTAATTTGAATATAACGCATTTTCGATTTCTGCACATCCATCTTGTTTGACGTTCGTATAATCTAAAGAAAAATCTCTTTGAATTAGCTAATGTTTGTCGCTTCATCAATACGCAGCGACGCATTTAAAGATCCTATCTACGCATGATTGAGCTTTATAAGCCGGTACTGCTATGTGTAAATGAATAAACATCTTCATTTTATTTTTAACACAACAAATGAAAAATGGACTTTGACAAGAATGGTGCAATCTTGTCAGGATCGAGCGCTTCATTTATTCAAATCTTTAAATAAGTTTTAATATAAATATAAAATATAATGCCACTTTAATACATGTTACAAAATTTTATTGTATTTAACAAATTATGACACACATAAATTCTTATTTCTTCTAAATAATCTGGATTATTTTCTAACTTAAAGTAATTACAATATATAAACTATAAAGTAATTCAAATAGGATCTCTAGATGCGCCGTCGCATGCCGATGAAAACGAGATGTATTCAACAAAAAAAATCATAAGATAATCATAAAATAGCAAATTTAATAAAATATTCGACAGGTCAATCCACTCTCCGACGAAGAAAAGGAAGAGCTGGAAAAACTGGCGATCGAGGTAGAAAAAGAAGAGACCAAACCCAACGAACTTTATGCTCCAAATCCCAGACATCCTGAATCGTCTGAGAATACACGCGGTCGTCATAAAACTCACAATTTTATCGCGCCGATAAAAGTGCAAGTTCCACTCGACGACGACTTGGCAGACCTACCGAAAGTTCCACAAATCAACGATTTTTCGGATCACAATATTGCTACAGCGGAGAAAGAGGAACCGCCAATTAAGGGACAGCGTCCAGCTACAATTTGGTCTAATGTACATAAATTATCGCCTATCGATTTGCCAAACGAAAATGAAAATGATAAAGAGACTACATCTGAAGTTAAAAAAGTTAAAGAGGAACCAATTACAAAGTTTAATCTACTAGATCTAACGCCTCAAGATACGGATCTTTCGAAATTCTCGAATGAACATAACATCGTTACAACTGAAGCTGATAATAACGAACCGCCTATTAAGGTGCAACGTCCAACAACATTTTTGTCGAATGTAGATAAACTCTCACCCATCGATTTGCCGAACGAAAACGATACCAATGAAAAAAATAAAACGAAAGACTTTATACAATCTACCGACGAAGTTGCAACAGATTAAATAATCAAAGCTTTTTACGCTAAAATCTTATATAATTTATTTGTTGTTATAATACCGGATGTTTCAAATTATTTACATTTTTTTTCAACCGTAGATTTTTCAAAGAAATCCTGAGATAAAATATTTCTCGAGGAAATGTTCATGAGAGAGAGAAAGTATTGGTTTTGCATTTGTCTCGCTGACAATTTTCGATATTAAAGGTAATTAACATATTTTTTCTAAAAATGATTTTGCGATGTAATTTTATGGTATAATTAAGTCTATTATAAAATTCAGAAAGAGAAAACCTTGTATGATGTATTTGTAGTTGAAAAGTGTGATTGATTATAGACATCCGGTATTATAAAAACAATAAGCTCTAAGCATAAGCCATTTGCGTGAAAGAGAAACATTTCTATGATTTTAGTTTGTATCATTTGTGATAAGATTTATTTATAATATCATAAAGAATACTTCACTATACTATAGACATTACAGTCTTATAAGTGGCTGCTACTGCTCATGAGTTTGTAAAGTTAATTTGTTCGAACATTGTAAATTATATGTTAACGATAAAATTATTGTGTAAAGTTATTTTAGAATGTTTCTAATAAAATCACTGTCGCAAAAATTATTCACAAAAGTGAATAAAAATTTATATTTATGTGTGTGTGTGTGTGTGCATTTTCTTGTTATATTATTCTTCATCAATTATTTATGTGAATAATAATTAAATAGTACATAGATATATATAAATAATATCGAAAATAACATTAACTAAAATCAAACAAATGTTAAGAAAGTACTGTATTATAATTGAATTTTACACACAAAATTTATATAATTTCGTTACAATATTCCCTAAATATCTTATTTTAATTAATAATTATTAATTATATCGCTAGTTTTTAATCGTGTAAGATACGCGCTCACTTAATTATTTTTATCGTCGACAGTTTGTTGCTCGCGCAAAATGAATCTTTGTTGATTATGTATATCGTAAGTCTCATGGTCGGGTTTTAAAATTAAAATAGCAGGAATAATGTTGAATCGACTATTTGTGAGAACGATGGCAGAGTTGTTTAATTTACGAAGCGTATCGTCGTCGATGTTGACGCGCAAGCTACTCCTACGATCTTGGAAAAATCTCTTACTCGAGAGTATAAACGTTTTTCCTCCAGATGTGCATGCATACGCAGGAACGTTCTCCTTTATATCAGGCACATAAACGTCTCGTATAGCTCGACAGTTAAAATTTTCTCCACCGTTGTTTGATGAATTGTCGGAAATGCCGCTGGAAGAGAGTTTCGAAGATAGCTGTGTATCGAGATGAGGTGTTGGTGCTCCACTATCCTTTGCAGAAAATCCGTTTCGTAAATTCGCGGGTTTATTTCGTGCAACGTTTCCCATTAAACTTCGTCCGATTGAAGCGGGATCCTCTTCAAATGATACTTTAGCAATCTTCGATAAAGCAGCAATCAAATCATCCGTTCCTCTTCTCCCAAAAGACATCCCGTCGTTTTCCTTATGCCGAATGCTTTTTGCTTCTCGATGACTCAAGAGGATCGGAATTTTCTGAGATACTTTCGGTGCATCAGAATTGTCGAATTCAGGTAACAAATCAGATCCCATGTTTGGACGATTAGCATCTCTCGTACCAGCATCTGTCCCTTGCTTGCCTTCCGCATCGGCGTTAAGCGGCGTCTACAAAGAGACTTAAGATTTAAGAAAATTAACCAATCACAAATAATTATTCTTTTCATGTGAGAAGAATAGTCGACTATAAATGATCAATTTTCTTAAGTCTTAAATTTCATTGTAGACGCCGCCATTATACTCACCGGTAATCCATCGCTCTCTCTAAGAACGAAACCCGCCAACAGCACGAAAATCGTCAACCAGCGTATTGACATTGTTCTACAATAGAAAGCTAACGGGATTGTCTTCGAGTGCGGCACGTGTGAATTAGTCCTTGCTGGAAAGTGGCGCAAACAGGCACGCGTTTTGCGACGATTGCGGCTGTGTCGCAGGAGATACTGACGGAAAAAATTAAGCTGGCGTGAACGCACGAACGAACGTGGCTGCCGGAGAACGACAAATTGGACTGTTCCAGACCTTAACTCCCTGCTCACCGACCCTATCTCCTCTTCGAACGTCACTTCCCATATGAAATTTGAGCTTTTCTGTTTAAGGGACTTTCTACAATAAGCCGTTAGTCACTACTCATATCATACTAAGAATTGACCAATCATAGTCGAATATTTTTCTTACATTCAACTGTGATTGAGATCGGAAGAGC